GATTTTATATAATATATTTTTATCTAAGCTTTTAAATTTTAATATTATGTTGCAACAGCACTTGACCCAACACTTACCCCCTTAGAACCTGTTTGGTGCAGATTGTAGGAAGAGCTTTTTGGCTCGAAAAGCACAAGCTGCACCAAACAGGTCAGCTTCCCAAACTTGCTGCAACTTTTGAGAAGCTCAGCTTCTTGTCTTTCCTTTGCAAAGCTCGAAAGCTCCCATTTCTTACTTCCGCGGGAGCTTATCGCTTCTAATTTAATGAAATTGACATGATCTTCTCATTTTATCCTCACACTTCCTTTTATTTACGAAAAAACTAATATATAAAGGATCAATTTATAACATCAAACCAACCAGCCCCAAGCACATTTGTTTCTTCTTCCTCATCCAATCACAGAAACAAATATAAAATACTCATCCAATCACAGAAACAAACCAAAAATACTTAACTATATTATTCCTCATCCAATCAAAGAAACAAACCGAAAATACTTACCGTATTCTTCCTCATTTTCTTTCCCCCTAAACCGAAAATCCCCTCAGCTTCCGTTCAAAGAAGAACCCAGGAGCTAGGTTTGCGGCGAACCTTGCGCTTGGGTTCCGAGACGAAGCCAGTACCTGGGTTCACGACTAACCCAACACCTGGGCTCTGAGACAAACTCGGGAGCTTGGTTCGTCTCGAACCAGGCGCGGGTTCATCGCAAACCCCTCCCCTGGGTTCCGAGATGAACCTAGGCACGGGGTTCATTGCGGAACTCAAGAGCTGGGTTCGAGACGAATCCAGGAGCTTGGTTCGTCTCGAACCAGGTGCAGATTCGTCGCAAACCCTTCCCCTGGGTTTCGAGACGAACCCAAGCAAACCCAGCTCCTTGGTTCGGCGACGAACCCCGTGCCTGGGTTCGCACGAACCCGAAGGTGAAAAAAAAAAAACAAAGAAAAAAACAGCAGAGTAATAGGAATGGGAGAATAATAAACTTTATAATATTTATATTAA